GATAGGGAATAGAATAGAAATAGAGTAGAGTAGAATAGAATAGGGAATAGAACAGAAATAGAATAGAGTAGAGTAGAGTTTAGAGTAGAGTAGAGTAGAGTAGAGTAGCGTAGCGTAGCATAGAATAGAATAGAATAGAATAGAATAGAATAGAATAGAATAGAATAGAACAGAATAGAATAGAATAGAATAGAGTAGAATAGAATAGGGAATAGAATAGAAATAGAGTAGAGTAGAGTGCGTAGCATAGCGTCGAGGAGCATCGAGTAGCGTAGCATAGCATAGCATAGCATAGCATAGCATAGCATAGCATAGCATAGCATAGCATAGCATTCTTTATTGGCCAAGTGTGATTAGACACACAAGGAAGCAAACACCTGATAGACTGATGGGTTATGCCTGGATCTCAGCCTTTGGGGGAAACCCTGATCCTGCCTTGATCTAAATTAGACCATTCATTTGTATAACTTTGCATTGTTTACCTTAGTGGGCCACAATCTTCATGGTACTGTGAGGTACTCCTGGGTGGTACTTGGGTGGTACCCCTGATGCAGGGTAATACATTTGAACAAGGTTTTGATTGTTTCACCTACGGCCTCTTGCAAGATTTTGGAAGTGACTGAGATTGGACAACTTGGGATATGGAACCTCCCATAAATGTAGGTGTCTCCTTCCCCCACTTAAAAAAAAATGATGAATTTTGCAAATAGAATCCAAGGAGAAAAAAAGAGAATAAAAGAACAGGAAGACAAAAAATATTTTAAAAAGACTGCATGTTAGACTATCTGCATGTTTGAGAGTTTTATATCAATTTGAAATATACCAATTTTCAAATAAGTTAGTATTGAAACCGGGTTATCGTGTACTGACGAATAACCAGTTCATTAATATAACAACTATTGCTCAAATTATACATTCTAAAATATATCTTTCAAAAGCAGCCTGCATCCATAGAAATTCCCCTACCTTATTCTTTGACCCCTAAACGTAATTTATGAATTATGGGCACTGGAAGCCTGTTTGAGGATTGAAATCTGTGATTTTTTTTTTAAAAAAAAAATCCATACATTTGGTACGAGCTTTCCGCCCTGAGATAGAAGAGCCGACTGCAAACATTTTATAAAGGTACTGAATATTTTACCCATCCATTTCTTTAGATGCTTCCGCAGGTCGGATATTGGTAGGCAGCAGGTGGCTCGAACCGAATGTCCACGCAACTTTCCATATTCTTCCAGAAGTGCAGCATCATCTGCGGTAAGAACTGCAATATTTCCACCGTTTACAAACCTTGGTAGTTTTTAAGGAAAAACGGGAGTCGTCATCTTTTAATAATCCCTTGTGGGGTGGAGTCCGAGCGACTGAATGGAGCTGAGTGTGGCTGGAGGCCTTTCCCGTTGCCAATGCGGAGTTTTGTTTAGCAGATACATTCTCACGGTGCCCAGAGAGAGAAAAATATCTGCCTCTACCCAGGATTGAACTCACAGCCTCCTGATTGTGAGGCGAGAGCTCCGCCTCTAGGCCACCGCACCACTCTCCAGTTAGAAGGAGTAGGAGCTATAAAAAGCTAGCACTGCTATTCCTTCTAACTGGAGTTCCCGTTTTTCTTTAAAAAGGCAGCGCAGGTGAACGGGAAAAATGGTGGACAAGGCATTTTGATGGCTCCTAATGTCTACAGCGCTAACTCAGCTATCTTCTAGGAATTCACACAAAGTACAGGCCAACGGACATTGCGCAATGGTTACCCATTAATTGACTATCTCTTGTAAAACCTAATTAGACCCCCCCTTTATTTCCTCCCCCCACACAGGTAGTGTCGTCCATGGACCAACAGGGTGTCCCGCCAAGGTCAGTATATGGGGAGGATGGAGAAAGAGACAAGCTAAGGGTTCCAACCACTACCTGTAACTTGGTTTTGGGAAGGTTTTTGTAGAAAGGCTTAGTAGCATTTCACACAGTCACATAAGTAAGAAAAGTCCCTTTAATACCTCCAACTTTGCCCCCAGTGTCCAGTTACCATCGGCTGGAGAAAAAAAACTCTCCCAAGAACAGTCTCTAAGTGAAGGAAATTCAATCCGAAAACAACTGTAAATAAAAATCCACACAAACCACGCTGCAGCAATTAACTGGACGGGGCAGGATAAGGAATTGCAGACTTCAAAGGCCAACAAAACACGCACAAGTTGGGAAGATGCCAGGAACCCAGATAAGCCTCGACAAACAAAGATAACTCACGATTTGCTTCCAGCGACTTTGCTTACCTTTTTAAACATTGTTTTCCCGGCTGCAGCTAATGAAGGGAATCGGGGCCCTTTCCTCCCCTGTAAGCCATGCAACTCACGTTGCTCCCTTCTCTGTTCCTCCCTGCATGCCCTAGAATGAAGAGGGGGTGGGCCTGGGTCTTCCTCTGAAGTCCCTCTCCCTTGTTCTACCTCTTCCCTTCTCTGCCCAGCCAGACTGTGCCCTTCCCCAGTTTCTTCCACAGCCGATGGAGCCACACTCCCACTCCCTGTCAGCTGCTCGGCCTCCCCCTCGGAATCAGATTCCAACAGCAGCATGACACGGAGCTTCTACCTATTCCAGTTTTCCCTCTAGCTTCACTAAGCCACCCTGGCCTAGCCTAGTCTTTATTAAAGCTTCCTCAAAACTAAGGGCCCCTTTGGATCCTTGTACATGCCTTCATTTTACCAATTTCTCTTGAGTATATATGTAATATGTGTTCACAGAATTACTTTTGAGTTAGGGATAGAGACAAGGAACCTAGAACTAAGGAGAAATTTCCTAACAGTGAGAACAATCAACCAGTGTACAACGGATTGCCTTCAGATGTTGTGGCTGCCCCATCACTGGAGGCTTTTAAGAAGAGACTGGACAACCATTTGTTTGAAATGGTATAGGGTCTCTTGCTCGAGCAGGGGGTTGGACTAGAAGACCTCCGAGGTCCCTTCCAAATCTCTTATATGTCAGCGTTCCAACTAACTAACTTGTCATGCCCCTGTTGGAATCTGATTCTAAGGGGGAGGAGAGCAGCTGACAGGGAATGGGAATGTGGCTCCAGTGGCTGTGGGGCACAGTCTGGCTGGGCATTTCAGAGGAAGACCTAGGGCCACCCCCTCTTCATCCTAAGGCAAGCAGGGAGGAACGGAGAAGGGAGCAACATGAGTTACATGGGTTACGGGGGAGAAAAGGGCCCTGATTCCCTTCATTGGCTGCAGCTGGGAAAACAGGATATAAAGGGTGTTTGCGCAAAGCACCTTGGTGGAAGCAAATCAAGCATGATTTTGGTTTATCAAGTCTTATATGGGTTCTTGCATCCTCCTAACTGTGTGTGTTTCATTATCTTTTGGAAGTCTACAATTCCTTGTCCTGCCTTGTCTCGTTAATTGCGGCAGCATGGTTTGTGTTGGTTTTTATTTGTAATTTAGATGTATTTTGGGTTCAGATGGAATTTCTTCCTTTTAAAAACTGTTCTTGGGAGAGTTTATTTCTCCAGCCGATGATAACTGGACATTAGGGGCCAAGTTGGAGATATTAAAGGGACTTTACCTACTTTTGTGACGTTGTTATTTTGTGCCACGCCCCGGGTCATCACACAACTCCAAGCCAATAGACTCCGAGACTACATTTTCTCAAAGTTCCATTTTATGAGAGTCGTCATATTGGCACATCTGGAAAAGCCCGAATTTGAGAGTTCCGGGTTTTCCCCTTCCCAAAAGAAATTCGAAGATCCATCCCTTGCACCCCTCAGCCCATCACATGGCCCAATCAAATCCTCGTCCCAACTGGAGACATCCTTCTAGTCACTCCCCTTCAGGTGCAGGGCAACATGTCCTTGACTCTCTGAGAAAGAATGTTGTTGAGTCTAACCTTCTACCTCACTATGAAATCCACCCCTCCCAAGTTCCTAGGCACTAAATATGGCAGCCTCAAAACTTCCAAGTAAAAAAATGGCTTCCAAGGCTGACATTATTCTATGTTCTGAGTTGTAGGTATTAGGTGTCCAACATCCAGTAATTGGATTCAAATTTTTTTACTAGTGGTTCTATGGTGTGGCTTGGTGGCATGGCGTGGCTTGGTGGGCGTGGCAGGGGAAGGATACTCCCCATTCCCTTCCCACCCCACTAACCTGCTTTCCAGCCCCATTCTCCTGTGCAGGGCAACCAAAGAAGACCCGGCCAATCAGCTGGGACTCGGGAGGCAGAGAATCGATGGGGGCGGGGCCAGTTAGAAGTGGGATTTGCCGGTTCTCCGAACTACTCAAAATTTCTGCTACTGGTTCTCCAGAACTGGTCAGAACCGGCTGAATACCTACCTCTGCCACATCATGGGCCATGTAGATAGTTGCAGCCAACCACTTTTGGAGGCTCCTAATTCCCAGTTTTGCTGATGACCAGGAATGGTGAATTCTTGATCCACAGGTTTGACCCTTTCTTCCCTTTATAGGCCTCCACCCCCAGTGGTGAAAACTTCAAGGGCATCGGAACAGCTTTTCCCCTCCCGACCGGCACCTTTGCCCCCTATATAAAACGTCTTCATTTACCTCTTGAAAGCCTGCACCCCCTCCTACTCCTTAAGACCCAGCTGCCTCAACTGTCCATCAAACGACTCTGGAAACCATCTTTTATTCCTTGGTGCCGGAATAAGAGGAAACGAAACGCGGAGGCGACCACGAAACGCAAAGAAAACCAAGGAATGTAAACTCCTATAAAATACCTCTCTTCCGGGATCTCAAATCACTGAGATTGTCAAAAAACGACATTTGGGCTGCATTGCTGGGCCATGTCAGCTTGAACCAGGAACAATGGTTTTGGATCCAAGGGCCTCTTCCTTCTTTTGACGGTTAGATTTAATGGTTCTGACCCAGCCTTAGCAGAAGCAAGAAACAGACTCCTTGTTCCGAAAAACCCCTTTTGATTTACCTCTTGTGAATTAATGGCATTCACCCACCAAAAGGTCCAGGGAATAGTCCTTCCAAGAGTTAACGGCAGCAACAGACCTTATCCGTTCCTTGCGACAATTACAAGGCCAGTAAAACTGCAAATTAAGTTCTGGAAGCAGTCTCTGAGGCATGAAACACGATGAGCCAAATCTACAGAAATCCAAACTATTGTCTCCTGCAACCACCACTCCCCTTTCCTTCTATTTATTCCCCAGCCAGGGAGGGGCCATTCAACATCCACGTGTGCTTTGCTTCCCGGGGTCGACTCCCTGACCTCTGTTGTTTCCCCTCTCCTAACAGCTCTGCGCATACGCGCGTCTGGAACAGGCTTCAGCTGTTCTTCCTCCTCACTCATCTCAGTCTCCGACGGCAGGTGCCTTTCTGTGGCTGGTAAATGTCGGACGGCCCCGGCTCTGTATCTGCGTCGGACGCAGAGCATCTATCAGAGCCTTTCCCAGACTCCAGCATCGGCCCAAATTCCTCCCCGACCTCCTCATTGTCCAATTCATCGTCCACAACATTAATCAGGTGATACTTGACGCATACAATCCCACCCACCCTCCCGCTAATCCCTTGAGGGGTTTTTTCCCTCCAGAAAATGAAATAAGTCGAGGGAAGAGGAGGCCTAACTATTTTTAAGGCCCAGTAAAATTGATCAAGAAGCCTGCTTCCATTTCACTAAAACCTACTTTACAGTCCCGGAAAGCGTCATTATGGGAAGCAAATGTAGTTCAACTTGATTTGTTGGGGGGGGGAGGAATCAGGTGTGCACAGCCCTAATTGTGGGGTGCAGGGTCCTGTCCTTTCACACCTTGTGCCTTGGGAGTATCGGATGCAAACAAACAGGTGTGTCTCAAGGTGCGTGTGGCACTTGAAACGATGGACGGCTTAAAAAATTTAAGGCTTGCACGTCGTATGCTTTGGGTGTGCAGCTGTCCTTCAAAATACAGGCTGGCAAGTTCTTCCTGGGGCAAGTTTGACAGCTGCACTTTCCCTGAAAAGTTATATCACCTGTCTTCACCTGTAGTTCTGAGCTTTGGTCCAAGGTCCAACCCAGGAACAGGAGCAACTTTTAAAATTGCTTTTTGCGTGGATTGGGAGTTTCTTACCTGAAAATGCAGGAAGCTAAAGACACCTGAGAAAATGTGAAGCATCATGGCCGTGCAACTGTATCCTTCCCTGCTTCGAAGCCAGACCCACTGAATTCAATGGGACTTTTGTTCAGTGGGTGTATGATGACAAGCTTAATCCAAGCAGGCTACCAGCCAAGGGCTGTTCTTGATTGTTCACTGCTAACACTGACATTGTTTTCTTTTTTTTAAATGAAACAAGAGAGAAGAATTGGCAGGAAAACAGGAGATTATAATCAATAGAAGACGATCCATCATCCTACTCAGGGGTGTGTGTATACAGGATGTGGTCAAAAAAGTCCAAATTCCTGGCCGTGATGTCGTGATCAAAGGTCTCTTGCTTTGAGCGCACCTGCATAAAATTGGGCGGAGCTTCAATTACGGTAACAGGTGGTCCTCCTTTAGCGACCATTCTTGGAATCAATAACTCGGGCATTAATGAAGTAGTTGCCAATTGAAACCGCGACTAAGTTATGGTCTTCATTCAACCTTCCTTTGCTCTACAAGACCTGCAAAGGTGAGGACTGGCTGTGCTTTTTCATCCTCTTCGTTAAGTGTGAATGGTTGCTAAACAAGGCAGTCGCTAAATGAGGACCTGCTGCATTCTGGCCACCAAACTTGACTTGGTGAGCATGCCTTGCAAGACAATCCTGCTTCTTCCAGAATTGTGGCAGGACAATTGCACAACAAACCTCTGGGTACTTTTTTCTTCCTCAAAGTTAATGAAATCCATTCTTAGCACATACGTAGTTTTTAACACTGTGTGTGACTGTCAACACATATTAAACAGCTAATTCTATCTCTGTTGGCTGAGCTTACAACTGCGTTTAATCAAAAGATTTTAGGGAAGTTTAACAAGCACTAACTTAGGCAATTTGACTTATTAGCCATTATTGATGCCTTGAAATGATGGTACAGGAATGGCACCCCCCCAAAAAAAATGCTTAAAGATTTAAAAAGCACTTATTGTCAGCTGTCCCAGATATGCTAGAATCCTAAACATTATTATAGTTATATTTTTTTTAAAAAAGCCTATGCTTGAAAGAGTAATTTTTAGTTTACCTTATTGTCTTGTACAACAGAATTAAATGCCATCTTCAGTGTACATCATACATAAGAAAACTATAAAAATAAAACACAAACACACATCCTTCCCATTCTATACAATTGAATTGAAAACCTCTGATACTGCATTAGTATTACACTATATACTATAATAAAAACCAATGCCCAAGTTTAGAAATTAAAATTATACTGTTCTGATTGCATTGACATTTGTCTAGTTTAGAGGGGATTTTTTTAGTCTTTTTCAAAGCATGGGACCTGTTCATTTTATAAACCAACCAGGATTCCTGAGGCTTCTGGATATCAGCTGATAAGGCTTGCCCTTCCTGGGTGGGGCATTCAAGTCCACCCCACCCCCCATTCCATTCTGGAGAGGGGCTCCCCCACCCAAATGTTTGCAGAATCCATTCAAGCCCTAACAAGATTCCAGTTTTGCATGGAACTCAGTTTGAAAAACCCTGGTTTGTTTCATGATGCTACAGACTGAAAGAAACTTCTCACATTTGATTTGGGGCACCGAAGAAAACCCTGGGTACCTCCTTCCGAACATAGACTGTTTTTTTTCACAGTCACAACAATGCTACACAACAGTGCACAAGGCTGTGTAAATTAGTGCCAGCTTTTCAGTTTTGCACTGTTTTTTTTTCTATACCGAGCTAATGGGCACCAGTGAAAATGCAAAGAGACAGAAGGAAACCATGCCTAAACTGTGATTTTTTTTTGAGTGCACAAACGTTCAAACTGCTGACTAAATACACTAACATAACTTTTGCACGTTCTCCAACTTAACCTGTTTGCTCTGACTTCTGCCTTGGTGCAAACTCCGTTTGATTCATCCAAACTTTTTTCCAACGGCGTGAGCACTTTAAATCTGATTAGCCTGCTGGAAGAATCCAATTTATCTTTTTAAAAAAACATTGCTTTTTCAGATCAATCGGGATGTTTACGTCAGCCGAATCTTGCTGGATTGAATCGTGCACCATTGATTTTGAGTTAAACGTTGTTTTTTTTGGAAAAAAGATTCTGCTCCAGTAGCTTTTGGGTCAAAGATTGGCGTCGCTGTTAAGACAAGGGAATTTTGTCCTCTCCTGGTGAGGCAGAATAGATAGTACGTTCATAACGGACACGGATTCTTGCAGATCGGTGTAATAAAGACTGAAATAATGATGAATAATTATGGTGATTTATTCCCAAGTGGCATTAGCTGTTCAACGTGCAAAGTGGTGCGGTGGCATAGAGATGGAGCTATGGCTTCACAATCAGGAGGCTGAGAGTTTGATCCTAGGTAGAGGCAGATATTTCTCTGGGCACAATGAGAATATATCTGCTGAAAAAAACTCCACATTGGTGACAGGAAAGGCATCCGGCCAGTCAACATTCTACTAGTGCCATTCAATTGCCCAGACTCCACCCCGCAAGGGATTATGGAGTCGTTAAAAGGAGATGATGGTTACCTGTTCAACTACAGGTAATCCTCAACTTACAAGCACAGTTGGGACCAGAATTTCCATCGCTAAACAAGGTAGTGGTTAAGTGAGTTGAGCCCAATTTTTTACAGCCTTCCTGGCCATGTGTAAGCACTGGACTTTTTCCCTTCAACCAAAAAGAATGAACTTCTGAAAGCTAGATATTTCAAAAGGAGTCCTTTATTGAAAGGGAGTGAATCTCAGCACTAGTCAAAGCAGAGTCTCAAAGCAGATAAAAGGAGTTAGAATCCGTCCCCTTATTTAAATGTGGATTTAGTCAAACAAAGAACCAACATGTTAATTGCCCCCTCCCCTTCTCTGGGAATGTATCTTAGGAGAGTTCCCAGGGGTATCTTCCAGAGCTGGAATTTTTATGGTCCCTTCTCCTCTTGTTATCTCTTCAAGAGGTGACAAGTTTCTAGACATCTGGCTCCAATCCTCCAGTTGTATATCATGTGCAAATTATACAGAATCAATGTAAGATTTAATATATTCAGGTTACATCAAAAAAGGATTACTTGTACCAACTCACCCCCCCACACACACACTTCTTCCATTGAAGAATGGCAGATACACGGATTTGACATCAGGGTTGTTAAGCAATCACTGCAGTTGTTAAGCAGGCCATAAGTTAAGTGAATTTGGCTTCCCCTCAGTAACTTTGCTTATCAGAAGCTGGCTGGCAAAGGTCCATAAATGACAATCACACCCCAGCAACTCTCACAAATACATGCTGGTGGCTGAAGCATCCGAATTTTGATTCCAGGATCATGCAGACGCAGCCACAGTTGTGAATGCAGGGACTTTTTAAAAACTTTTTAAAAATTTTAGTTACTTTTTTCAGTGCCAGGAGTGAATGGTTGTACCTGGAGGACTACCTGGACTTTTGTTTGGCATCATTCTTGCCAAAAGAGAGTTTTTAACCATGTGTTTGTGTACATTCATCCGTGTTAATAAAATGTTTGAATGAGTCAGTCTCGTAAATATTGCCAAATATTCAATCCCGCGTATCGCAAAGTTAAAAGAGTCCCGCAGCTGAACGAGCAGCGTAACTGCTGCTCGGGTTTTCTTCTGTCACCCAGCCTCCAAATAAGCTGTGATTCAACCATAGTTTATTCAATAAGTCATAATTGGCTTATTTGCACTTAGCACTTATATACCGCTCCACAGTGCTTTCCAGCCCTCTCTAAGCAGTTTACAGAGTCGGCACATTGCTCCCAACAATCTGGCTCCTCATTTTACCCACCTCGGAAGGAAACTTTTGAGTCAGGATCGAACTTCCTGATTGTGGGCAGAATTGACCTGCAATACAGCACTCTAACCACAGCACCAACACTCCTTCCTTCCTTCCTTCTCGTTTTCCTTCCTTCCTTCCTTCCTTCCTTCCTTCCTTCCTTCCTTCCTTCCTTCCTCCCTCCCTCCCTCCCTCCCTCCCTCCCAAGCAATAGCACTTATACACCACTTCACAGTGTTTCACAGCCCTTTCTAAGCAGTTTACAGAGTCAGCTTCTTGCCCCCCCAACAATCTGGGTCCTCGTTTTACCAACCTCGGAAGGACGGAAGGCTGAGTCAACTTTGAGCCGGTCAGGATCGAACTTCCGGGCTGTGGGCAGAATTAGCCTGCAATACAGCACTCTAACCACAGCACCAGCATGGCTTCCTTCCTTCCATCCTTCCTTCCATCCTTCCTTTCTTCGTTCTCCTTCCTTCTTGTTTTCCTCCTTCCTTCCTACCTTCCCAAGCAATAGCCCTTAGACATATACCGGTCCACAGTGCTTTCCAACCCCCTCTAAGCGGTTTACAGAGTCAGCCTCTTGCCCCCAACAGTCTGGCGCCTCATATCCTGAAATTGACATGGCAAAGCACCATTTCCATCTGTGGTGTGCACCAACCAGCTCTTCCAACATCCATTTACTGCTGGTCCTGGGTTTACCAAGGCCATTGGAAGCAGAATTGCTGTTGCTGAAGATAGAGGAAGATAAAAGCACAGAATCAAGATCATGTAAAGTATTAGCACCGCTTTATAAAGCCCTACTAAGGCCACACCTGGAATACCGCAACCAATTCTGGCCACCATACTACAAAAGAATACGTTGGGACTTTGGAAAAAGTTCAGAGAAGAGCAGCTAAGATGATCAAAGGCCTGGAGACTAAAACATAGGAAGAATAGGCTGCAGGATTTGGGTTTGGCGAATCTAGAGAAAAGAAGAGCTGGGGGGGACATGAGAGCAATATTTCAGTATGGTCTGCCCCAAAGATGAGGGGGTCAAATTATTCTCCAAAGCATCTGAAGGCAGGACAAGAAACGATGGATGGAAACTAATCAAGGAGAGAAGCAACCTGGAATTAAGGAGAAACTTCCTAACAGGGAGGACAATGAACCAGTGGAACAGCTTGCCACCAGAAATCATGGCCGTTCCATCACTGGATGTATTTAGATTAGATTAACAGAGTTGGAAGGGATCTTGTAGGTCATCTAGCCCAAGCAGGAGACCCTACACTATTTCTGGCAGATGGCAGTCCAGTCTCTTCTTGAAAGCCTCCAGGGATGAAGCTCCCACAACTTCCGAAGGCAACTTCTGCTCCATGGGTTGGTTGTTCTCACGGTCATAAAATTTCTCCTTATTTCCAGGTTGAATCTCTTCTTGATCAGTTTCCACCCATTGTTCCTTGTCTGGCCTTCGGGTGCTTTGGAGAATAGCCTGACTCCCCTCCTCCTCTCTGGGGCAGCCCCTCAAATATTGGAACT